TATTGACTTTAGAGAGAGGAAGGGAGGGAAACGCTGATTTCCTGTTCTACTTATTTATGCATTCACTGGTTGATTCTTATATGTGCCTTGACCAGGAACCAAACCTGCAACCTTAATGTAGGGGAACAATGCACTAACCAACTGAGCTACTCAGCAAGCTCTTGGCCTGATTATTTGTGTAACTTCAACAAGAATAGCAACTAATCATATAGGCTCTCTTAAATCTGCTTTGCTGGATTTTTCAACCCTGTGTGAATTCCCCATGCACAGGTATTAAAATTTTGGTTTTCTCCTATTAATCTTTCTTTATTAATTTGACTATTAGCCCAGCTAGAGGAACTTGGAAGGTGGGATGGAAGGTGTTAATTTTTTCCCCAATGTACTTTTTAATATTTTACTATTAAATAATTCTTAGTCACTTCATATTGTGGATTGAAAAGGGGTCACATACTAAGCCTGACAAGTTCAGGAGAGGCATGTCTGGTGGGCCTTACAAACTCAGAGACTGAAAGTAACCACATAGGATGATCTGAACATAAAAATTCCTAACTAAAAGAGGTTATGACAGGTAGTTACATCCTAGGCCTGTAGCTTCCTTAACAAAGGTCTATCTTTACCTTAAGTGAGCCTGGCTATTGTCTTTTTCCATCTAAGACACCATAACTTTGAAATGTCAGTGATCTCCTTTTCTACACCCCTCAGGGAAAACTTACCTCTAGAAACTCAGACCACAGAACCCCTTATTATAATTTTACTGCCCAAATACAGATTCTATGTGCTACAAATATTAATGATTAACTATCCTATACCTGTACCCTCCAAGGTAATTTTATTTTTTTATCCAATCACAGACATTTTCCCACTTTGCTTTTGTCCGTCTTCTTAATCTACTACCAATGGATTTCATGTAGCCCTTTTTAACCTCTCCTCCTTTGATTCTAATGTATAAAATAAGTTTCAAAACTGCCATTCCCTGGAGCATTTTTTCAATTCATTGAGATTTTGCTCTCAGCTGTTGTTGTCAGTTTGGCTCAACTAAACTCATAAAAATTCTCGATAGATTTAGATGTTTCTTACATTGATACATTCATTTCATCTTGGAAGATGATATACCATCGAATAAAATTAGTGCATGACCTTTGTACACTTCAACATGTTAATTATGGTAATGATTGTTACTGGACTGGGGACCTGGCCCTAAGTGGGTTTGCCTACAGCCAGATGGTAATGAGTGGGTTCTTGACTTTGTGTATAAAAGATTTCAGAACACAAGTCCTGTTGACTATGAGGATCCATTTATTATAGGGGAGAGCAAAACAAGGAAAGGCTTAGCATAGAAGCAGCGACAGGAGAGTCTCACTAGGAAGTCAGAGGAAAGGGGGCTTTGGGGATTAGGTTGGGGACAAGCTGCTGCTGCCCACTGCCTTAGAGCTTAGGAGATGCCTACCTTTGAGGAAAGAACTGGGGGGAAAGAGGGGAAAGGGTATGCAACTGGCTGCTCCCCAATGGGAGAAAGTGCAAGCACACTTGGTCCTTTGTCTTGAAGCTTTTGTCTCTCTCTTACAGGCTGGGAATCTTAGGGGAGGGTTTCAGTAGAATATTCATCAGCTCTCCAGGTGTGCCATTTTAGGGTCATGGTCTCCACTGAGTGGTCAGTGACATGGCACGGGGTCTTTTAGTCATTGTAGTTGGTCCTGAAGTTACCCTCCTGGTTATACTGCTTTTCTGGTCCTGGAGGTGAAATACAAGTGAAGTCTAAATGTTATCTCCAGGGAGGAAAGGTTCCCCTGGAGGCGAGGTCCTTGTTTTCCCAGTTGACCCCTGCCAGGCACTGGAGGCCTTCGGCCCTGGTGACCATCTGCACCTGGCTATCTACTGCTCAGCCATTGTGTTCAGCTATCTGTCTCAGCTTCCCTATTCCACTTACCAAGGAATTTTCCTAGCTTCTTAATATCCTGTCTCATGATGATCTGTAACATACCCTCAAAAATGTCCCTGACTGAGTAGGTGAAAAAAAGGAAGAATACACCAATGTAAGAGCATATCACTTACACATTACTTCTAACAGTAAGTAGAAGTCTAGGAAACTAACCTAAGCTAAATAAAAATATATTCTGATGAAAGCTGAATAAACAAAAATCAAACAAACCAATACTAAAAGCAAATCTATCTTAATATAGTGCTTAATATAAATCAGATTTTTTAAGGTCTTGTAGAATTGCCCTCCTCACTGAAAAGTGTAAGTTATACAATCACTGAACTGTCCAAAGATGACTCTTCTGTTGCTCCCCTGCAATGAAGGCAATCAATGGCTTAAGGAATTCTCCTCTCAGTTTTACAGCTATGTGAAATTGGTCAAGACCCTGACATGTACTACATGCCTAACTGTTGATAATTCAAAGAATGTAAATGAGTGAAAAATTTGAATCATAATGTATGTTCTTTTCCCACAATAATAAAATCTAAATTCCCTTCGCCAATTTCTTTAAAACTTGCCTTACATACCCACAAGTATTACCCTAGCACCCTGCCCCTCAAATAGCAGTGGGAAGTAATTTCTAATATAATCTAGGGACTCTTCTTTCTTTATTTACTGACTTTTAGGCAGAGATAGCAAGAGAAACATCAGTTTTGTTGTTCCACTTATTTATACATTCATTGGTTGCTTCTTGTATGTGCCCTGACCACAACCCTGGTGTATCCAGAAGATGCTCTAATACCAACTGAGCTACCTGGCCTGGTGGGGACTCTTACTTCTTAAAATAATAATATGTGTCCTTGCCCTGGCTGGTGTGGCTCAGTGGATTGAGCACCGGCCTGGGAATCAAAGGGGCACCCATTCGATTGCCAGTCAGGGCACATGCCTGGGTTGAGGGCCAGGTCCCCAGTAGGGGGCACATAAGAGGCAACCACACACTGATGTTTCTCTCCTCTTTCTCTCTCCCTTCCACTCTGCCAAATAAATAAATAAATAATGTTAAAAAGATACATGTGTCCCTTTTCCCTTGGAGCAGGGGTGTCCAATTTTTTTTGCATCTCTGCACCACACTGGAAGAAAAGTTGTCTTGGGCCATACATCAAATACATGGCGACATGTAATAAAAAAAAGAATCTCGTAATGTTCGAAGTAAATTCATGATATTGCATTAGGCCTCATTCACAGCCATCCTGGGCTGCATGCAGCCCACATGCTGCAGGTTGTACACCCCTGCCCTAGAGAGTACTGAATTTGGAGTCAAAGACCTGCTTTGATATTTAGAAACTATGTTTGGGAAGGAGCCACTCATCCTCCCTGAGCCTCAATTTCTTTATCTGCAAAACAACAATAATGATATCATGGGTTGTTGTGAGAATATAAAAAACAACAGGCCTGACTGTTGTGGCTCAGTTGACTGGGCATCACCTAGCAAAGCTAAATGTCGCTGGTTTGATTCCTAGTCAGGGCACATGCCTAGGTTTTAGGCCAGGTACTCAGTTGGGGGCATATGCAACGCATATTTATTGTCTCTCCCTCTCTTTGAGGCAAGAGATAGTCAGGAGGAAGGAAACTAAGGCATGCCCCAGGGCTAAGATAAAGGACATCTGTACAGGACAGAGACCCTGTTGTAAGACTGGTTGTTCTCGACTTCTGGAAAAGCACTGAATCATGGTGAATCATGAATGCACCTCACAGAAGATGCTACATGACCCCTGCTTCATTATAATAAATTAATATTGTGGGACCCCATTCCCCAATGGCCAATCAAGAAAAATCATGGGATACCACATGTATAGTAGCTTTAAAGTAACATAACTACTTGTACACGCACAATAAAAATCTGCCAAAACTAGTCAGGAAATAATTGCCCTATAAGAATAGAATCCCTCTAGCACCTGAGATCAATCTCTGCTCAGAGTTGGCTCACTCCCACGTTCCGTGGAGTGTACTATCGCTTAATAAATCTGCTCTCTCTCTTTCTGCTATAAACTCTGTGTTCAATTCAATTCTTTGTCCACGATTACCAAGAACCTGGTCACGACCTGTGGCCACCTGCAACATCTTTCTCCCTCCCTGCTCCTCTCTCTGAAAAGAAATAAAATCTTTAAAAAAATAAAACCACAAGGAACATCAATGCCTTATTTTTCCTCAAATTGCACTTTTTTCATGGTGTTAACTGGAAGGTTTTTTAAAAAGATTTTATTTTTAGAGAGGAGTACGAAGAATGAGAGTGAAAGAAACATATTACTTATTTGTGCGAGAGAACCATCAACTGGTTGCCTCTCCTACACTCCCCAGGCAAATACTCAGACCAGGAATCTAACCAGCGACCTTTGCTGGACCACGCCCAACTGAGCCACACCAGTTAGGGCTTGAGCTGGGAGCTTGTTGAAGGTAGGGCTTTCTTCTCAGTGTTGTGGCAGGCGGTCAGTAAACGTTTACTAAATGAAACTCTTCATCTCACCAACAATAGGACATCTTGACGTTTACAAACATTCCCAATCAACTCACACATAAAGTGCTAAACTTACCTATAAGCTAGGTGACGCAATCACGGGGGCCCCAGGGGATAAGGGCACCCACCGGTGACGTACTTCCGGTGCGACGCTTTTCCTCCACGCCGAGACTGGGTTGTGGGGGAGGGAGGCGGGTAGTGGGCTTTAGCGCCTTTTCTGGCGGCGGTAGATTTGAAGCGCTTTAAAGGTCCGGGAGAAGAGGAGACTGTTCTGGTGCAGGTAAATGGCGGGAAGCCCGTGTTGTTTCAATCGCGTCCTTCGCTACAGTCGCCCGTGCGAGAGCGGGAAGGCCCAGAGAAGAGGGGCGGAGCCGGCGCGATAGGCCCTGCCAAGTTAACCGTCTACCTCTCGAGGTAACGGGGCTGCCTGGTTCCGGAGGGGACCCTCGAGGACCTTGGCGCGGGCTTTGCCCCTGTTACACTTGGAGAAGGCTTCCAGCTCTGTCACTCGGGCCAGGGAAACGGCCCTCCCCCTGCCAGCCCCCGCCCTCTCCTTTCGAGCTCACGCCTCCCTCCCTGACGCATTTTGCCGCACAAGCTGTAATATGGCGGCAGCGACGGCGGCCTGAACTCTGGGGAGCCGGGGTGATTTTTGATGCTTCAAAATTGTAAGACTAAACACTAACGTGGGGTAGGTAGGAGGATTGGTGGGGAAGGGGAAGGCGTAACTTGACATCCTGTCAGGGTTGGGGAGTCGCGGGCGAGGAGCCTGGATCACAGGAGTTAAGATTAGATGGAAGACAGGCTTTACTCCTACTGCGACCTTTTATTTCCTCTTAGAGACAGCGTCTGTCGTGAATAGTTAAGTGGCCCCGGTCCCCTAGTTAAGCATTCTTCCAAAACTCAAATCAAGGCTCTTCTCCTCTCGTCCCAGAGCTGTCTCAAGTTCTCCCACGTTTCCGAGGATCTGTGAGCAGCGCAGGCCTTTTAGGAGGAGATATTACTTTAGGAAGCAAGTGATGGCTTCTGAGCTCCATATGCCTTGCGGGAAGTGTGCGAATTTGGCTTATCTGTAGTCTTTTAAAGTGCTAAATCGAGGTCTGCGGGCACGAAGAACTGCCAGTCGTTTTAGAGATGTTATAAAAGCACCATTTTGTGCATTGATTTTAATTTCTCCTCACAACCGTACTTTATGTGCAGGACGGAGTTTTTACAATAATGGTCACAAGTACTTCCAAGGAACAATTATTTTGGAAATTTGGGGGTATATTAACTTCCAGTAGCTAAAACCACATGCGGGGAATATGTGTGTGTCTTGTATATCTTCCCATTTGGCAAAGAATGACCAGTAATTTACCAGTTCGAATCGATGGTGGGGAGGCTATGTGTAAACATTTTTGAAACTGTGCCATAAGATCCAGAAAAGGCACGGATATCTACATAGCTGCTTCTTTTACTGATACTTGTTAGTATCAGAAAATTGACCCGATTTAGCATTCCCCCTTTTATTTTAACCATTTGAGATAGGATTATTTTATGATAAGTGACATCTTGTTTTAGCCAGAATTCGTTTTATATTGTTTAATATTTTCTTTACGATTCAGAATTATTGGTGCCCTGGGGTTGTAATCGGTCTTGCCTTGTAGAATACTGTACTTTTGGGGGGAGTTGTGTTTGCTTTTTAGGGTTTTTTTTGTTTCATGTTTGTTTTGGTCGTTGCAGGCTCTTGTCAGGGTCACCTCTTGTCGGGGGTGTACAAGTTTGCAAATTCCTTAGATTAGAAATTTTTGTTTCTGGCTCAAACATCTTTCTGAACCTCAGTTTCTTCATTTATAGAAGGATATTTTGATTTCAGACTATCATGAAACTGGGGTTCAAAAACAAATATTAAGGTCTGTTAAAATTTTGTTTAAAATGGGCTTTTAGTAAAGAACTCTGTGGTTCTCCAGTGAGTGAAGAGCATACATTATGGAATGTATTAAAGGCCCTTAGTTTTTGATGGTATTTACTTTCAGTAAGAATTCTGTGGTTCTCCTATGAATGAAGAGCATACATTACATTTATTGTTAAAGATCCTTAGTTCTTGCTGGTTTTTATTGTGGTCTTGCAGTATCGTGGCCTTGAAGTAAAATCTTTGTCCTTTTGCCTATTTTAAATTAGATTTTCTATTGGGCAGCATTCATTCTATAATCAAGGGAAATTGGGAGCCATTCATAATAGGATGAACTAGTTCTGTTCAGGACACCATCTGCAATTCTTTCAATATTACTCTTTTAAGAAATATGGGTTGGTGTTTTTCCTTATTTTATTAATAATATAGTTCAACAGAATTATAATATATTACCTGTTTTTAGTATCCTAATGCACTAAGGTGTTTTACTTGGGGAGCCATAGATAATTGACTCAGTTGACTTGAAGAGTTTGTTGCAAATCTTTCTGCTGTGTTGTGGTATTGCATTTTTTTCTCCTGCTTTAATATTAGCACCAATATTCAGTTTTTATTTGATTTATGTGTCAATAATTTTGTCCCGGTTAATGCATATATGGTCCTAATAAGAATTCACTGTATTTTTATTTAGGACAAATCTTGTATCTTGAAATTTGCTACAGGCATGTATTATAAATACTCAAAACTGTTGTATCTGAGACTTTATACTTCTAGTGCTAGAGAGGAAATCTTTTGCACTTGGTTTTAGTTTGAGTGGTAGCTTAAAATAGTCACCGATTTCTTTTTGAAATTTAATTACATCATATTTATAAATATAGACATCAATTTTTGATATTAAAATGGTCATTTTTTAAATGTGAATGATTCCTTAACTCACTGATTTTTAAAATGAATGAAAAACCTGTTTATATATTAAGCCACTGTTGTGTAAAATATATAAGTTTATTTACTCATTGCATTATGGTCATATGCTGGAAAGTTTAATAAGCCATTACCTAGAATATTTATAAATAAGTTAGTTTCCACAGTGAAGCTATAGACTACTTAAACAGAAAACTCTTGCTATTTTTGCTCCTTGTGACCTTGAGCCAGTCACTTTTTAAGTCTCTAGTCCTCCTGTTCTAAATCTATAAAATTGGAATATTGGACCAGATTATCTCTAAAGTTCCTTCTAACTTCAGGAGTTTGTAGTTCTATAAGAATTGCTGAATTGAATAGTGTTGATAGAATGGTGTAGGTATAGCTCTGGAGACATTGAAATAAAGTTATCATTGTAAGAACGTAGATAATTGCAGGTACAATTTTAAGAATTTCCCAGTTAGTATATGCTTTTTTCAGTTCAATATTAACACAATTGTACTATATTTTTATGTCTCTTGGATTGTATGTGTAGATAGTGTATAATACCTTTACTTAACACTGAACTTGGCAACAATGCAGCATTTCTTTTTGTTTTCTAAAGGATTGGAGAATATGGGAAGTGTGTATGCTGTTAAATTGTGGTTCTACCAGCACTATGGTTTGTGACTGTCAGAGACACTAAGGGAAGGGGGTTATGTGGAAGTGTCATTTCTTGACACTTCAGAATGTTAAGTTGTACTTAATTCATTAGCAATGTGGCATTCATAAGTGTATTTAAATGTTTTTGAAGCAATTCACTTTTATTTCTTATTTGTTCTCTATAAACTACATTAGGGGTAGGGTAAAGAGGCTTATGTGAATGTTAGATTGCCTTCTTTGAAAGTAATCTTCAAGATTGGCTATAGTCTATTTAACTTATATAACATGATTCCACTTAGAATGGAAATCTTGTATGAAAATTGTCACCTATTTATTAAACTTAAGCAGATGCCCACTGTTGTTTCTTGGTTTTGAACTGAATATGGTCCCTTTTATAGTGGATTCTTCTGTAGGAAGGGATGGTACAGAGAGAGAAAGGAAAGGAACACTTTTTTAAAAAAGATTTTATTTACTTATTTTTAGAGAGATGGGAAAGAGGGGAGAAAGAGCAAGAGAAACATGATGTGTGGGGAAAACAACAATCAGTTGCTTCTCTTATGCCCCCAACTGGGGACCATCCCCACAGCCCAGGCATGTGCCCTGACTGGAATGGAACCAGCAACCTTTTGGTCCATAGGCTGGTGCTCAGTCCACTGAGCCACACCAGCCGTGGCAAAAGAAACACTTTTTAAAAATAAAATGCCGTAGGCATGTTTGGGCTGTTTCAATTGTGAAATAGGCTGAGAGGATGGTTACTAGTAGGCTGGGAGAATTTCTGCCTACAGAAATATTGCCAATACCCCATGTGAGGAGGAAAGGCACTGAGTTTTAGTAAAAGAGTGTATTTCCACTTCTGCCTTGATTAACTTGCATTCTTTCTGTTTAATAACATAGTCTTGGGCCAGTCATTGCTTTGTGTTGAAGATACAAAGGTTCTTATTTTGAGGAATTTACAGAGCAGTTTGTGATAAAAGAAGATTCAACAAAGGAGGATCATTTAAGCTTTAGAGAGTTAGGGTGAAGCTCCCAGAGTGTACCCTGGCTCTGTGAATCTTTAAGGACAAGCAGAAGTTAGCCAAGAGAATCAGAAAAGGCAAAGACCTGTTGATCATCTTAATATTAATAGTTTAGAAGGATTTACTGTCTACGTTTTCAAGATTCAATACTGTGCTGATTCCCTCATACTGTGTGAAGCTGCCAAATAACTTTTTGAATGTAATAAAGTCACTATTATTTATTGTTTTATTATAAATACCTTGTCCTTTATCGTATATTTTAATGATTAGTTGCCCATATGCTTTGTCCTCCCTTCTTCGTGTTACTTTAGGGTGAATATGAAAATTATTTTATGTATGCATCTACAAGATACAATGTTTACATATGAATTTATTACCTCTCTGATATTTTTAATGATACATGTATTATAGAAGTTTATAATCTTAGCATTTATATTTTAAAATCTTACAACTTATGTCTATTATTGACATACAAAAGTAACTAAAAATTTTTTTTTAAATTAAACAAAAAAGCCCTTGCTGGTGTGGCTCAGTGGACTGAGTGCCGGCCTGGGAACTGAGGGGTTGCCAGTTCAATTCCTTGTTAAGTTGCAGGCCGGCTCTTCCATTGGGGGCGTGCCAGAAGTGACCAGTGGATGTTTGTTTCTCTCACACATCAATGTTTTTGCTTCCTATCTTTTTCCCTTCCTTACCCTCTCTCTAAAAATTAAATAAAATCTTTAAAAATTTTTTTAAAGTAACTATGATATTGTTGCTAAACATTTAAAATAACTTGTGATTCTATCTGCTTAGAAAAAAGTAGAACATATGAAAAATATTAAAGAGTTATAGCTAAGTACCAGGATTTTATGCAATTTTTGTGATCTTTTTTTCAGGCAGCTTGTTAATTTTACTGATTATCTTATTTTAAAATATCTTTATTGTGAATAAAATGGATAAAATTAAGTATTAAGCTCAAATTTCTGAAGGGTTGGGGCAGATGAAGTGAGTGCATGAGGTCAAGTACGTAAAAAATGGTAACAGCTAATAGGCAATAGTGGAAACTGGGTCAAACTGAAACTTATACCTTATGTAATGGGGACAGACTATGATGATTGCTGTATAGGAATGAGGCTAGATAATGATGATTTTTTAAAAGTTATTTTTATTAAATTTATTGGGGTGATTGTATTTTATACAAATATGTACAACTTAAACAGTTTGC